CTGCATAGATAGCCTAGGACACCCCCAGAAGTAGAGCCGCCAAAACAGAGTGAATCAGCAGAGTTGTTAGAAGGCTGCCAGGTAAATCAGGGAGGTAAATCAGGGAAATCATCGTTCTTACTTTTCCTGCCCTTTCCGGTGGCCCTTGCAACTGGCCACTTCGAGAAGGCCAGCCCGTGTCTTCAGCAAACAGACACCGGGCAGAAGCCTCTCGATTCATTTAGATTTGTGATGTGGCCTTGTGGTAGGAAAAGGAGAAAGAACTTGATACCATTCTAATAATCTAATAACATAGATTTAGGAAACTATATAGTCAAGGAAGGACATTTGACAACAGGGGCGCTCTGAGGAGCGATGCTGTTGCCAAGGTGCGTCTCACTCCTGTCCCTGTCTCCCTCTCACTCCTGTCCCTGTCTCCCTCTGTCTCCCTATAGGATGCTGGTCTCTGAGGGCTTGTTGTCGTTTAGGGATCAGACACAGAGCAGTTGTCAATGACACTTCTTGGAAAGGCTGTGGAAGAACCAGAGAACATGAGGTTAGGTTAGGCAATTAAAGTGGGCTTCTTTGGGTGCTTTGTCGCTGTGCCACACGCAGTTTGGACCTTTTGTGTTCCAAGGCGGGTTGCTGTCACGCAATAACCATGTTCCTGTGTCGCGCATGTGGTTGGCGTATGTTGCAAGTCATGCACACCAACAGCAACTGTATCCTGTGCAACAGACGCAAGGCCACAGGTGATTGAAGTTGGTCGAAGCTCCTCCTTCAAAGCAGCATAGACCTGACTACCCATGACAGCTTCTTCAGCCGCAGTGTCCACGAGTCCCTCAGTGTCGCTCACTCGCACGCCAGTGTCGCTCAATTGCCGAGGCCGGTGCTGTGCCCGAAGGTCATGTAGCTGCTCGAAGGCCAGTGCCACATCCATAGCCTCCGTTGGGCTTCGCCGCCGCGAAGCGGACCGCTGCGGCTCACATATCCCAACCCTTGGGCGATTGAAGCATTTTGTCCGTGCCAAAAGCGATTCCATGCCACGAACCAGGCTGTCATCTTGAAAAACTGGTGCAAATCAGATTCGCAGAATGACTGGCCGGGCCCCATTTTCTCAACCCGCAGATCGCATGAATTGCTTGTCAGGGTTTTGATGGAGCACGACAAATTGTTGAAGCCCTTGTTTCGTCTGAGAAACCGATGGCAGGTCAGACAGTCCACTCTTGCTTGTGTGTGAAGGACCAAGTTGTTTGAACGCACTGGGAAATCGTTTTGCAAACACTTTCGACACTCAGCTGCTTGGTGCGTAGCCGTTCGTCGGCCAGTTTTGCCAAGCATTTTTTCAATTCATTTGTCAGGGATGCAACTGCCAATCATGAATGCGGCAATGATGACTCGGTCGTTTGTCTCATGTGGGTTTCCAGGGGTTCAATGTGGTTTCGCGCTTGACAAAGCAGACTTGGGTAAGGTCTTTCAGGTGTTCGTTCACCTCTTCCAACAGATGAACCATTTCACGAAAGGTAGCCCTTTAGGGGATACCTTGAGTTTGTCTTGCGAAGCAAGTGTTGGGACGTCCGGGTCTAATAATTGATCACTCAATTCAACCCCCCCCCCTCTAATTGATTTCTCAATACAGACCCCCCCCGCCCCCTTGGAATTGATTTTTCAATAAGACCCCCCCCCCTCTAAATTCAATTCTCTCCTGGAGAACCTCTTCGTGAGCCTCTCATGATTTCAGGATAGTTGAAACCCTCTTGAACATTCAGAAAGAGTGCATATGAAATTCTAATCACGAAAGGTGTTCCCGAGGGGATACATACCTAGAGTTTGTTTTGTGAAGCACGTCAATTCTCTCCTGGGGAGCGTCTTCGTGAGCCTCTTATGGTTTCAGGATAGTTCAAATCCTGTGATGCTCCGATTCAATGCTCACCGATGATCTGATCCATGGGGCAAGTTTGTTTTCCTAAGAATCTTTTAGAACATTTCGAGAGCATATGTTTGAACATTTAGAGTGCATATGAACATATATTTACGATTTACGAAAGGTCGCCTCCGAGGGGATAAATCACCATGTCGAACATTGCATTTGTTCCTGCCTCTCGCGTTCTCTTCTCTTCCCGCTGTCCTACCTTTCGTGTCTCCCTCCTCTCAAGTAGGTCTAAGTGATCAAAGATTGGTGGACTGTGAAGCTTCAATGCAGGCAACGAGAAGATTGGAGGGTCAAATGGCCAGAGCTGAAAGGGGACAAGCACGATTGAGCAGCGCGGTTCTGCGCGTTCTGAAGGAGTCAAACAGGTCGGTCCCACAAGCCTCACAGGCATCAACCGCAGTGGCATGGGAAGCTGCGCAGGCGTTTTTTCCAAAGCTGGCACCGTTGCGAAGTGTGGAGAAGTCTTTCCAGGTGTCCTGACAAGATTTCGGGCAGTTCCTACTCTTGAAGTTTTCCGCGCTACGTCGGCTTCCTTGAACTAGGCAAACTGGGGGCAATGCTTTTTGGTTGGCAGCGCTTCCATGTGATGTTTGCATGTCCCAAAAAGATGTACACTTCGTTTGGGCCATCCGAGGTCCGAACACTTTTGGATGTGGTATTGGATGACCATGACACGCCTTTCTTTCTTTTTCGCGGACCGGGCCGGCTGGGTTGATGCTCAAGTGATGGACGCATCCGATGTGTAGGTCTCGAGCCAGAGCAACATGTCTTGCAGGCAGGAAGGCCCAGGTTGGAAGCTGCGCACGGCGAAAGGAACTGGATCCGAACATCCAAAATCTGAAGAGAGGAACCTGTGCACTACTGCACACCGCAGTGATCGCATGATTGCGTTCAGCGTTCCAAGGCCACAGGTGGGCCTTGGTCGACAACTGCGTGTAACCGGAAGCAGCCGCCGGGCATGCCGGCGGTCTCGGCGAAAGCTGCCAAGACCCAGCCCGTGTGCCACACATCACGGCCAGCGCCGGAGGTTCGAGCGAGAGCTGCCAACGGAATTTGCGGCCACAGAACCAGGAGCGCTGTGGAACGGGCCTTGTACAGCTATTGGATATTGTTTCTTTACCTGTACCATGTGTATAAAAAGATTTAGACGGACCTTTGAATAGTAGGTAGCCAAGTCTTGACTGGGTAATTAAGATGGGGCGCCGTCCGGAGCATACATGGACCAAGTGTCTGGGCATCACTTGTTGCCAAGACTTCGCCTTTGTGCGGTTCTTTGTTCAAGCTTGTCAGCAGGCATCATGACGAGTCGACCGGTTACAAGGGCTAGATTTGCTGGTATGAGTTTGGAACATTTTGGAACTCTGCTTTTGAACTTTAATTTTGTTCTTGACTGTCACCTGACCCTTGTGGCTCGTAACCTTGACTACTCCACTCTGTGGCTGGCCCAAACGCCAAAAAGTGCTTCGGGAGAGGAATGCTGACAGCAGTGTGGACCAGTGATTGTCATTGGCCATCTGAAGCGCAAGATGCTGTTCGGCCATGCCTCCTTGTGGTTTGGCCAAAACTGACCGTATCCCATAGCAGCACTGGCGAGATCCCTCTGAAGCTGAGGCTGACAGCTCTGAACTTTTGAGCAAGGCCAAAGTATATACTATACACATGTAACTATGGATATCTACAGATACACCGTTGTCTCAAAAATCCATGGCCTATATTTCCACGCGCTTTTCAAGCCCGAGAAAGATGATTAAGATGCTCAACTCGCCGCGACCTGAAGATTTGTGTGAAAAAGGACGGTGAGGGAAGGATGGAGCGGCCACGGGCTATATATGGGTCAGCAAGGTCTTGGTATTTGGATGGTTTTCTGATGGTCAACAAGCCTCACTCCACAGCGATGGTCAACAAGCCTTGAACTGGCAGGGCTTCGAGAGTTGTATCCGATCCAGAAGCGATGGAAAGGTTTTCTGCGATGGATCGGAAGTGGCAGATTTTGCCGGGATGGAATCGCCGAAGCGTCGAGTGGCAGTTTCTTGTGGGTGATTTCTCAGACTTGGAGGATTGATACCGAAGGTGGTTCGATGGACCATAAGGTGGTTTGCTTGAATGGGTTTGCAAAGTGCTCTTCCCCCGAGGACATCAAACAAGTCTCCAATGATATTCATGTTTGAGGATGATGTACACATATGTTTTCCCGTGGCCAAGCCAGGGCTGGGTCGGATTATGGATCGTAAGAATTACAGATAACAACGGATTACCGGTTGCTCGGATTTTAGCTCGTTTTCGGACTAGCTCGTTTACGGATTACTTTTGGAGGCGCACTTGTTTGGATGAACCCAAGGCTTGTGCTCATTGAAGAACTGCTTGTTCAATCCATTCAGCGTTGCTCACAGCAAGACTCTTGTTCTGTTGCTCATCAACACTGACTGGGAAAACGCAACCCACATTTCAAAACCGACGTTGCAAATTCCACACCCTTTATGATTAACTCATTTGCAGATTCTCAACCAGTGGCCCCTCTGTAGCATGATTTGCAATCCAATTCCTACGTCACGAAGTGAGGTATATAAAGCGTGTCGTCAAGGTCTGCCTTCCTGCCTTTTTGGGTTCAAAAGCCTTCTGTGCATGATATGATGGCGTGTTGGGCTGGAAAGCCAAAGACAAACTGTTTGGGGATTGGCCTGGTGGCTTGGCTGGAACATGACCAAAGAATGTGGTGAATGAAGGCACAAATGCGCCAGCCACACCAGTGCCTCTGCCTACGCCAGTCATCCGCGCAACCATGCTTCGAGAAAGTACGAAATTCGGACACGCACACACAAAGGCAACATATATTTTCCCGTGTTTTCTGACTCATGATAACGGCCATGGATGCTACAACATATAGCCCGAATGAACTAGGAACCGTTCAATCGACTTTGTTGGTCTTTCGGTTTGCTCTAGTGGCACAAAGCTGACTGCACAGACTCGGATTGATGCACCAGCAGACGGAGCAAAACGCATCTCGTCACTCAAGTCAGTCACATCAGCCCAAAGCTGTTGCCACACGCCGCCGCGCAAAGCGGCCGCGTTCTGTGTGGGCGCGTTCTGTATGCCCGCAGACGTGATGCCCGGGATTCTCAGATTGCCGTCCGATGGGACGTGGGGACGTGGTTCGTATCACCCACGATCAGTGAATTGGACAGTCTTTTCGTGCTCCGTCTATCCCTTCCTTCGGGTGCAAGTGGTCCAGCTTTGCTACCGTTCGGTGCGAGTGGGTTCTCTCGAACGAATACGGAGGGTGCCCAGGAAAGCATCATAGGCTGTTGCTTTGACACTGAATGTGTCCCACTTAGGCTAGTTGGACTATCCAGGAAGAGTAACCTGACACTCTTGTTGTGTTTTTTTAATACCAGAGGTTGCTCTGTCAGTTCCGAGTGCATTCCTGTTGGCACACTGATCGTCGAAATACAAGGCAGCTGGTAATTGGATGACGATAAGGGAGAGGTGCTGAACTTAAAGATCCGACTGAAACCCTCGCAAGGGTCATCAACACTCTCGCAGTCAAGTGAGAACAGTTCTTATGAAGGTAATGCGGCTTGTCGGCTTGATTTTCAGATCACCTCTCAAGATGCCAAGGGAAATGAAGGTTTACAAATGAAGCTGTCTCGGTGGACATGTTTGCATCACTGAGTCAAAAGAGGTTTCTGAAGAAAAACTCATGGTGCCTAATTTACTCATCTAGATGTTTGTGTGCAGGCTGTGTTGGGTTGCTCAGTGTTGGGTTGCAAACTGCACTTTGGTCAAAAGGATCTTGTTTTGTGTTACTTCTAGACCAGATTTCCTTGGACTGGGCATGGCTTGAACGGCCAAAAGACATGTGTGGAAAACACAAGTGTTCCTGATTGGAATCTTCCCTTTTGGCCCTTTCGGCAGGTTCCACTTTACTAAGATCCGGTATAGTGATTCTGGAACAAGTTCCAAGCATCATGTAGCGTCAAGCACTTTACGTTCTTGCGAGCTTCATCGGCGATGAACCGTTTGTTTTTGGCTCGCAGCGTGGGCGATTTTTCCCATGGCAGCCAACCATGTCTATAGTTTTCCTTCTTTCTTCACACAGCATGGCCGACAGCGTGCGACCTGTTAATCGGTTTCATCCGTTTCGCTCCTGCCATCCTTATTGTGTCGGGACCGGGATCCTCGGCTGCGCTCCTCCCATCTTCCACGATCGATGTCGCCATGGATCGCGATCACGAGGACTTCTCTCTCTCCAGCGACCCCTCGGCCTGGTCGCTGCGGGCGACGACGGTCGCGGCTGCGTGCGACGACGGCGACACCGACGGTGGCCCGCGCGGTCCCAAGGTGTCGAGGCTTTCGAATGTGCAGCTGGCCACCGAAGTAGAAGCAGCTTTGGTGCGAGCAGTCTCACTCAGTACAACCTTGAGTGGCTGGGGTGACGGGGCGTTCATGGACTTTTTTTGCATTTGATGGTGTTGGTGTTCTTTCTTAAAGCCATGCAAAAGGGTAGGAGCTGTTTGCCCCCTTTTGATCCTTTGTCTAAACTGTTCAATCCTTCCTTCAAGGTAAGCATTGGGTGAGACCATCTTTGACCAGTACCTACGAGACCGAGAAAGGCCATGATTTGAGTGTGGAAGTGACGCGATACCATCACTTCTTGAGCCATGATTGGACGCTTGCTCCAGCTCAGCGCTCCCCGTCATCGCCCCACCTGTCGAGTTCAGACTCAAAAGAAGAGGTGGAAACGCATGCTTGTTTCAAAGGCCTTCACCGTGCTTCACCCTGGGTGTGGCCATTTTGGACTCTTTGGGTCTTTGTTTCACTACTCCTGTGAGGGGCAGGAGCCCGCAATGACATGTCTTTGGCAAAATTACTTGATTTGTGTTGACTCATGAACCCCCGCTAGCAAGACGGTTGTACATCTCCATGTGGGGGGTCTTATTCAGTCTACATGAGGCTTACCCCCAAACATCGCGCGCGATATGCGCCTAACATGAGCGACCAACACCTGGTGTTCTTGCCCACAATTTTTCGAAAACCCTACCCAAATGCAGACTTGTTCAATGCCTAGATTGTTGATGGTTGTGGTGTCTTGAAGCCTGTCTTAGTCTCTTTCGGCTTTTTCATTCTTTCCGGGCGGTATTTTCACTGTTGGGATACCTTGGTGTCTGATATTCCTTTCAAGGCACTGACTGAATATCGCGTATTCGCATGTATTCGCCTTTTCGAGGAAGACCGGTCGATGGTCCAAGTTTTTGACGATGCTGATCCTCTTCAACCTTCGACCAGCAACAATCACCACCTTGCTTGCTGCCATCACAGTGGGCCTTTGCAAAGGTACGGGCGCCGTGTATGAGGATGGGAGCGTGAGCAGCTTTGTCGAAGCGGAATGCTTTGCAAGTTGATGACGTTTAAACTTTGTCTAAGTCTTTTTGCGGCAGGTTGATGAGACTTCTACTGTAGATTTCTGAACAATCACGCCTCAGCCCAGGCATGTTTCTGGTGAACTTTACACCCTACCTGGTCTTTCTCTTCTTCATGTGCTTTTGGCAGCGCCTTCGCAGCTGCCGACCCTTAATGGTCTTCTTGGACAAGCTCTGCATCGAGCAACGCGATCCGATTCGGAAGGCGAAAGGCATCCGGGGCCTGGCGGCCTTCTTGGACCGTTCGGAAAGCATGGTCATCATGTGGTCGTCGCAATACCTGACACGTCCCCTCGATGAGAGCGAGAAAGAGACACGTGTTTCACGTGTTGGTGTCGGGTTTTCATTTTTTTTGCACTTCAACAAACATGTTTGTTCAGGTTGCTTTGTCGTCGCAGTTCCGTGGAACTCCCAGGTGTGTAGATACGTACAGTACAGATTATAGCATATAACTCTCTCTCTCTATATATATATATACAGTATAGATAGTTATACTGTATATGATTCTATGAAAAATGTTTTCACCCACATTTGATCCAAAAAGACTGAGGTCTTTGGTGTAGTTACGAGGTGGCTACCTTCCTGCGTGTTCATGGTAAAGCGAAGCTGGTGACCCTGTTTCCCGTCTCCATGGCATGGGTCATGATCCTGGAGGCGATGAAGCTGGCATTTGCCACTTGAGCCAAGTTTGGAGGTTTCAATCCCAGAAAGCTCTCAGTCCTCGTTTCAATCAAAGAGCTTCATTGACTTCCCTTTTGGAGTCTGATTTTTTAGCCCAGTCAAATTAGTGAAAGACAATATCCTGCAAGATTCCAAGGCGACCGCTGTGATTTTATTTGTTTTCACCTTTGGCAGTGGTGGGTATGTCCTCCTGCTTACCACTGTATGGCTTGTGGTGAACGTGCTTGTTGGCCCGGTATACTGTTACATCGCTTTGGGGTTGATGAAAGAGGTCCGCGGGCTTAATCATCAATTCCGATGCTTCTCCATCCGAAACTCCGAGTGCTTCTGCTGCAGTTGTGGCCACCAAGATCCTGAGACCGGGGAGACCTTGATGTGTGACAGACAGCTGGTCTATGATGCTGTGAAGCGATGGTATGGAGCGGATGAAGATGAAGAAGAGGAACATTTAGATCGCTTCGACGAGGTCGTGCGCACCACTCTTCGCAGCCAGGTGTCAGAAGGGGCGGAAAGCGCGGTTCTGCCCTTCCGCATTTCGATGTACTTGTCGCTGGCCATGTCAGCACCGTTTCTGTGTGGTCTGGTGACGTTTCCGCTGGGAGGTGATGTATATGCAAGGGCACCTCCCATGCCAGATGATCGAGGTGTGTTCTACATTCTCTGGAGATGTTTGGCTGTGACCTCATTGTATTGGTTGCAAGACGTTGCAGTGTGCATCCTCAGCATTGGGCTGGGCCTGCGGATTTGTAAGTGGGGTTCTCACCTTTTGAACCGATGCTCACAGGTCACTGCGACCCTAGTGGTATCTCCTGTACTGATCATATCCATGATTTCACTTGGACTAGGAGTTAGCTATTCTTTTGAAGTTCTACAGCACCAGAATCTGTGGGATTTGATGCCATGTTTGCTGGCCCTCTGGCTCCTGGTGGCCATTGGTCTCTTCAAAGCCCCATAAAACGTGCCGGACCTCGCCGAACTGCGCGCCGACTCGATCGCGATCGATCGCGATCCATCTGTCGGGGTCCACAGCTGTCGTGGTCCACTGAAGCAAAGATCTTCGTTTGAGCAAGGAGATGCGGCAAAAAGAACAGATCCGATCGCAGAAAGAACTGTGGCGGTTTTCTTGGGATCCCCTCACCGTGGCCATGCAAACATGAACGTGATCATAGAAGGACCTTTTTCAGTGCGAGTTTCAGAAGGGCCGGCATTATTTTTTTTGTTATATTACTATTACTATTTTTTTAAAAGGAAAATCGAATCCAGCACTTCCAGAACCTTCAGAACCCTTCAGAACCCTTCGAACATCGAATCCAGCTGACGCCTTCTGTCTGAACAATCGGATGAACGATCGGATGGTTCGGTGTTCGGTGACCGTTCAGTGAAGGATGTGGATGGGCGTTCTGGTGGCGGGACGTGGAACGAAAGGAACGCGGGAGCCGTGAGTTGCACCGCCCGTGGTCGGAGAATTGGGTTTCCAGTGTGGAGCGATGGATTAGATCAGGGTTTTGGGGTTGTGATCACGTATCTCCAAAATAGTAAGAAGCTATGAAGGATTTCTTTGTTTGACCCTTTTCCTGCGGAAGAACTTGATCCAGGTCTGTGCAATTCATCAATGGGATCAAGCACACAGAGCTCCGCATAAAGAACTATATGGCTATTGACAGCTCTTTCTCAGAGATCCTTTGCTGGCAGGATGCCCCCCCATACACATATCAGATCACACATGTACATAGCATTGCAAATTGTCTTCCAAGTTTCATTTCTTTCTTTCCTCCCCAAGTTGGCCTCCCCAAGTCTCGTGACTTGAAGTGTTTCTCAAATTCTCATCCCACTCCTTGGGCCCATCGCAGGTCGACTGTCCTCGTGGCCGCCATGCCCAGGCTCCGTGCTTGGAGCTCCCGCGGCATGCGGGCTCTTCAGCGGCGCGCGCTGCGCTCACTCCTTCGTGGCTCGGCGAAAGCGGCCGTGCGTGCGGGAGAACAACGAGTGGAAGGAAGGCATGGCTGCCATGACCAAAGCATCGGCTGTCGGTTTGCAATCGTTTGTACTGGAGCTGAACAAAGACATGCGCAAGGAAGAAGCGTCAGGTTGACAAGCATGCACATGCGATACGTGACGTGGCAACACCAGCATAGTCACTAGCGTTGCTGGCATCACAGGCACTACAGGTTTCAGAAATGTTGGGCCACCAAGTGTGAACAAATGATGAGGTACGTAAGCCAACACAGTGAACGCTCCAGCTGCATGCATACAAGACAGTGAGTGAAAGGGGCAATCACTGAGTGAAGTCAACTCGACATGTCGTCAAGAGACACTCAAAATATCACAAAATTGTGACAAAGGGTCATGGACATGAAGTTGCATTGGCACGAAGTCAGAGTGGGGAGCGAAGCGAGCGAAGCATGCACGCAGCATTGGACAGAAAGGGATGCGAAGACGATCATATGCCATTTGGTTTGGCACATAGCACGTGTTTTTAGAGTCTAGAAGATCATCCATTTGACAAATGGCAATCCATTGACTCTCTTCCCCCAAGCCTCGGTAGATTTAGTACCCTCAGGATCCGGACCCTCCAAAACAAGGGCCTTTGAGCCCCAATGTCCCCAGGGGCAAAAGTCACTTTTTGTGCAAAACATGTGCCGGGCCAATGGATACCCTGGGCAGCGATGGAGAATGAGCAGTGTTTTGAAAACAAAAAACACCAAAAAACATCTGGAGATCCAGCAGCAGTTGCAGCGTGTTCTCCCCCGCCCCGCGTCTGGCAGTTTTCACGGTCACCGTGCACCACCCGGAAACCTCTGCGTTACTCGTGTGAGGTCGTGGCAGCGAGAGGCGGGGGGCCTCGGTTCCACCTGCCCCCAGCAGGCGAAAACTCATCATGTTCCCTTCTCTTTTTGGGGGGTGTTTACCTTTTGGGAACAGGAAGCCTTTCTGTCCCCTCTCTTTAAACATGTTTAAAATACATTTTTCTCAATTTGAGATGGAATATTCTGGGCTGTGGGTCTTGATTCACACGTCCTCCATGATGCAAACCGGCTGTGCTATTGGGGTTGGCATGTACTAGAGATTGGCCAATCATTGGTGACATTTGACATGAACATTGGTACGCTCGCTTCACAATTGCTGCTTCTGCTGAGTCTTACGGCTGATCTGCAAATGAGTTTGGGTCAGTTCGGCCCAACTCCAACCTCGCATGCATTGCTAAGTCCTTCCGAATTAAAACTAGAGCAGCGCCGTTGCTATTCTCGCTCGAAGCATAGGACTCCCCATCTTGCTTCACAGGACACCTCAGTGTGGCCACTGAACATCTGTTGCCATTGCCCCAACTGACTTGTACTTCCGTCCCAACTTTAGAGCTAGACGGCCGTGGTTTGGGATGGCCATCTGCATGTCTGGACAGCCCTGGACAAGGTGTACCGGCACCTCCGGGGTTCTCCGTATCTGGCCTCGGCGGCGTCTGCCGACCCCGGGCGACCGTCCTTGCTATCCGCCGTCAGGAGGGCCACGAGCGTGCCCTTCTTGGACTATGCCAACAGTGCTCGCCAGGACGTGGCCAGGGGCCCCGGAGGTTTGGAGGTTTGGGGCGGGTTGATCTGGTGCGCACCGGGACAGTTGCAGGTTCTCAGACCCCTCCTCATATTCTTGAGGTGTTTTCATTCTAGTGTGTCTCCCCAAGCAATTTTCCTTCTTCACACGTCTTCTTCGACTCATACTCACCAAGACTCTTGAGAACCATTGATCTTGGAGCAGACATTCTGGAGCGCTTCAGTTCTTGTTTCGCAGAGCTCCAAGCCACTTATTCTTGCTGATAAAAAAGCAGATGGCACAAATATCCGTGCCTCGCAGCGATTCCGATGGAGAAAGTAAATTGAACGTTTCTATGTTTGTTTGATTTATATATCTATTTTTGTCTGGACGTTCGGCGCCTCTTCAGAGGCAGAGATCATGCACGAACTGGAGGCGGTCGGGAGGTTGTCAGAGAGTCAGACTGTGAGAGTCAAGCCAAGGACAGAGGGACTTGGGCAAATCCATTGGGACTGCCCCACGGGTTTTGGATGGGTTTTTCTTTGGAATGTGGTGGATGCTGCTTGGTCCAAACAGACATTTTAGAGGAACCATATCAAGTGGTTTGGGCTTTTCCTATTCAAATTCAAACATGAGTCGACTTGGATGTCACCCTCACCGATCTTCCTCACCATCATTGGCGTTCCGGAACGGACCCCGCTCAGCCCGCGCGGACCAACGCGCTCGCAGGGGTCTTCTGCTGAGCAGCTGCATGCACTGTCCACCATGGCGTGCGGCCGCCCATCGTTCAAGTTCCGCGGGTCATTCTCTTCTCTCTACTTCGACCCCCATGGCCACCTTGGTTTTCCTCGACTCTTCATCTGCCTCATCTGCCTCATCTCCCTACCAGCGACCCGCGGTTTTGATCACCGCGTGCCATGCGAAGTGGTCACCACCAGCTGCGACCGGTCCCGCTCTATGAGGGAGTGTCGGAGTTGCGGGCAAGAGCGAGAAGATGAAGATTGCTTCGAGAGCTCTGAAACCCTGCGATTTTGGCGTTGCTTTTTCGAGTCATGGTGTTTTGTCGTACTTCTGGCACTCCAAAACCTTAATAACCCATCTTGAGACGATCCGTGTAGCACCTCGCGCAACCGCTGGCATGTAGCGCTTCTTTTTTCCGGCGGTTTGGACTCCTTTTGTCGGTGTGACGTTTGGCCCCCCAAAACCGTTCTTTTCTTCCGGGTTCTGGGTCGGCGCCTGGAAGGCCTGCCTGTCGGATTCGCCGAGGTTGGACGTGTGGCCTTCAGAGTCACCCCACTGGCGCTTAGCAGGCGACGCCTGGTGTCACCACCGGAAATCCGGAGACGGATGGAGTTTCTGGACGAGTCCGGACGAGAAGGTGGTCCGGACGGACGAAGGGCATGTCGGAGTGGCCGGAAGGATGTGGGTTTTGCTTGTGAGTTCTTTTTTTGGTGTGTGTGAAAAACAAGTCAAAAACAGATGAAACCGCCCAACTGACCGTCATTTTTCTAAAACACCGCTGGCTGAGTGATGGGTGAGATGGATGTTTGTGGACTAAGTCAGGCGCTGTATTGCCAGAGAAGATTCAAGCTCGAAGACTGCAGCAGGACGGAACAAGTGGCTTCCTTGCACCGCATTCTAAGTTGTGAATTCATGTATATAATTATATAGTTATATAACTATAATTCATGAAATAATTGGATAGCACACTGTAGGGGTTGATTAACATACTCAAAAACGGCACTCGGACTAGCTGCTAGACTAGCTTTTGAAGCTCTCCACTATTGGAGAAGAGCAGCGCCAGCAAGATGCAGATGCCGCCCTTCTGATTGACCTACCCTGGCCCTGGCCCACTGGCCGACCAGGCTTTTTGGGGTGTGAACGGTGTGACCATAAGTTACTCTTCAAAGGAGCTTATTCTACAAAGCACAGGGTTTGAAAGGAGAGAGGGTCATTGGCTCCGTGGGCTGCACATCAAGTATAGTGAAATAGCCAACAGCAGTGAGTGTGATTGTTGATTCAAAGCTTTCCATTGAAGCAGGTGACATTCAGAGCTTCACAGAATTGTGGGCACCTCTCATGTCCTTAACCTCCCAACAGTTTCACGTCTAAACAGTGGTGTGTTCGAATCACTTTTTCATCCTCATTTCGCACCGCTCCAGCTGACTCACTCCGCTGCGAGTGACACTCCAGCAGCTGGGGGCCCTCATCTGGGGGAATGCAGGAGCTCTCGAGCGATGAGGCCTGAACAGTGACACGAAGCTCAAACCTAAAATGGCTCGAACATTGGGTAACTCCAAAGCCCCCGGCTAAATGGAGAACGGGATTTTACGAGCTGCCTTCTTTTGTGAGCCACATCCAGGATCCATATCATGCCCATATGGTCACTCAAAGCTGTGCGGTTTCCTCCCATGGTTCCTTCATCATATTTACCCTCCTGGAACAAAGATGGTGATGCGGCGATGCGGAGTTCACCAGTTCACCACCTGTTTGGTCATTGACATCAATGAAAAGAATAAATGTATTTAATCATCGAAATATGTGTTGTGTGACATGGTCATCCAGAGTCCTGTCCAAGCATTTGTCCACTTCGATGATTTCAGTGACTGTCTTTCTTTTCTCCTTTCGCTTTCGCCTTGCACCGCACGAACCGCCCCCGGCCAAGAGAGCCCCCGAAAGCCCCCGCGACCAGCAGGCGGTAAGCGCGGGGGCTCGGGCCAGCATGTTGCAGGCGCTCTGCGTTCGGATCCTTAGCGTTCGGCTCAGCGGCGGAAGTTTTCGGTCGCACGAAGCGGACTGTGATAAACAAGAGAAGACCCGAGACGAAGACTTATTGTGGAGAAGTGGATGGCATGGGAAGGATTTTCTGCTGCCAATCCGGGTGGTTTCCACTTCCATGTTACGCAGTCGGGGTATAGTTCTGAGAAGGTGACATGATCTCCCTTACTTTGGCAAGATTTGGATTCACAAGTCTTCCATCCTGGAACCTGGACTGGTTCGATGACTGCTCACTCCGCGGTTGAAGCGAGTGAGTGGGCTAGCTGAGATTTTCCAGTCGGAACTGATCACTGAAAACACGACGTGCGAAACCCGTGGCTGTTTGTTCAGGGGTTTTCACATGGCCATGTCTCCTAAAGTATTAGGGTAACCATGGTTGTACCATGTTGTACCAATCCGCCCAGTTCCAAGACATGTCTGGTCTTTTCTCCCTCATGGTTTCCTTGCCACTGCCCCCCACCCCTGGATGAACACTGGTTCGCGGATGTTTCTCCGCTGTTTGCTGTTGGACACCCTGAGAACCTGCGGCCGCGGACGGTCCTGAGCCTCGCGGAGTCCGTCGTGGGGATGCCGAGGACGGTCGACGGTCGTTGGTTTGGCTCGGAGTCGCTGGCCGTGCGGCTCAGCCAGTTGGTGGAACCTACCGCCATTGGGGCGTTTTGGCGAAAAGGCAGCTGCTTCTGTTTGGTGGTGGGTGTAGCTGATTCTTGAACCCGAAAGCACCAAGTGCACTAGGACACCATGTCTGGTGCTTTCAATGTGAGTCTGCTGGTTCAGCTTCTGGCAGCTTAGGGGGACACAACTTTTTTGGCATCAGAGGCACAGCCACTTGCGACTCTATTCGTTTAGTTTCGTCTCCCTTGTGACATTCACCTGGTTTTCCTTCTCCCATGCTCCGGTCTGCCCAAAAACGAAGGGACACCTGACACTGGAAACTCCTCTCTGGTTACATGGTGTTTTCCTTCGATGTCGGCCGCACCGCCTCGGTCAACGACCGACATCTCTCCGTCGTCGACTCATCGACCGACGTTGAGTCGTCTCCAAGGCCGAGGGACTTGCCTGGAAGCTCTCTCTGGAGGTCCGACCGTTCCGAGCTTCCGACCCGTTGGGGGACCACCGTTGGACGGGGGCCACCGTGGGGTCGTTCGCGGTGAACGCAGGGTCACTCCGGCACCCACCCCAAGAGAAAAGGCTTGAAGGGACATGAATTCTGAGAGAACGCAGTCGGATATGACATGATATGACTATATACGTACTGGCCATCATCTGCCATATGTTTTTCTTTTCCAAGCAACGATGTTTCTTGGCAAGGAGCTCAGCCGCTGTTTGGCTGCGCTGGCGGCAGCTTCTTGGCATCCTCTTCCGAAGGCGACCGTCTCGGTGACACGCCGCGAATCAGGCGATCAGATCCACTGAGAGGATTTGGATGGTGACCGTCTGACGGAGGTCGCACAAGCAGACCACCGGTTGGTGGTTGGTGTTTTTTTTCCAGCAGAATTTGTGACGGGTGACTTCCAGCAGGTTCAACTCCAACAAAAATCCGTTTCTCATCTTCATCCGACAGACCCTCTCGGTGTTTTCCATCCACCTTTTAGTGGCAACATGTGGCAACGGTAGACCAGGGTGGCTGATGAGAAGCACGGTACCGCAGACTCCTTCGTAGATGACGGCATGCCCGGCATGCCGGGTCACGTGCTTCAGTCCTGACTGTGCCAAGCAATATTTTCCAGGAATCGAAGCTTCAGAAGTTTGCGGAGCAGGCGGAGTTGGCGTCGGCTGCCGGGGAGCCGGGAGCGGGAATTTGCCGCGTGGGAAGGAGACCATGGGGAGGTCCTCCCCGTGGTGAAAAATAGATCGATATTTTCTCTTCTGAACGAACTATTTTTTGGCATGTATATAAATGGACATGGCAGATTGATATTCTTTTTTGAGCTGGAACTGAGTTCTTTGAGCTTTTCTGAGTGCCCTCCTTCCAAGACGTCTTTGAAAACCTCCCGAACTTGCTCCTACTTTTTCCCAGAATTGACGCGTCAAGACTTCCACACCTTCACACCTTCACACCTTCACCCAAGTGACACCCAAGTCACTCGTTTGTCACCCTTCACGCCGTCCGACCGTGGCTGCGGTCCTCACCACCGCAGGGTGTGGAGCGCACGGTCCAAGGGGCTCGGGCCTTGGCCCGGGAGCCCGGGAGCCCTCGGACGGAGACTTCGGAGGCCCATCGAACAAAGCCATTGGCGAAATGCGCATGAAAAGTGAGGTTTTCTGCGCACTTTCCCCAGTAAAGTCTTTACATTTTAGGATGTTCGAAAGGCGACCAGTCACCGCAGCCCACTTTCTGAGACTCTGGAACAGCTGGTGACTGCTCATGCAGCAGCATCCACCTTTGGCTTCGAAAGGCGCGCCAAGCTTCTTGCTCTTCGACAGGTGGCTTTGGAGAGACAATTCCCAAGACTTTGAACCTCCCGAAAAGAACATCGAACATTCATTCAGACGGAGAAAGACCGGAAGAAATTCCCACCTCCCACTCTTTCACACGGCCGAAGACGCCCCGAAAACCCTCGTTTTTCTCCCCGGGTTGTCGTCTCCGTGGAGCTCCGGAGCTGCCAGTCAATCCCTCGCCGCGGAGCTGCGGCGGCGGGTGCTCCGCGTGGCTCGGAGTGGTCCATGGGGCTTTGGAGTTCCAATGAAACCAGCAACCAGCTTGGGTTTGGCTTTGTGTGTTCAGACGTTTGGGTGGATTGATGTGGATTTGGAATGATTTACAGTAGACGTTTTGTTTTTTCCTTTCTTGCAAGGATTCAAGCCTGTGCTTGTATGGGTTTGGCCGCCATGGCCTAAACCAGGCAGCAGGCGCTGCTTCTTCTGCTTGTGCGGAAGCAGCTCATGATGAAGAGGCTTAAAATGTTTGTGGTAAAGGCTCATATTATAATACAACCCCCCAAATAGATAGAAAAGTAGATCCCGGATCCCCACTAAAAATGTATTGGACACCGTTTCTATCTGTTTGGGGACCACTGTATTGCTACTCAATGCAAAGTGATGACGACCCCCTGCCTGGGCAGGTTTTGAACATGTTCATGATTCGACAGATTCGACGGTGGGCCATGCAACATGAATTTTGTGCGAAGGGTCTTGTTTCACGATCTTTGCCAAGGAAGGATGTAAGGTTTCCAGGGCGCTTCATCTGTTGTGAAGAATCCACTGCACGATGCGAATGCAACGTGAACAACAGTGAACCATGCAATCGCGATTGTGTGTATGGACATTGGGTCTGTCCGTTCTTACCTGTAACAGTCAGTAAACAATTATTGCTATGTTTGAACAAGGCCTTTACTAACCATCATCATCCACTGTTACAGGTATTAGGATAGACAGGATGTATGGATGTGTTCATTGCACTGTTGTGGTCTTTGCGAAGTGCTTTGGTTTCAACGATGCTTTCCGCATCGCATCGTGTCGTTTCGCCAGCTCTGAGGTGGCTGGAAATCAACACCTTGCCACGGCGTGTGGTCGTGGATCCAGACATCTGCCTGGTACGTACCCTACCCCCGAAAGCAAGGTTTGACACCCGAACAACATGAGACAAGCGAGGTTTTTTTGTTGCTCAATGGGCTTGCTGCTCTTTTTCTCAGGACGAGCATGTAGGGTGAGTGAAGGAATGCTGGTGACAACTGGGACAACCCTGTTGGATGACTCTGTGCGTGAGAGGGAAACTCATGGCTCCGAATATATATATATGGTGCTGTAGACTAAAATCCTTCGTAAAAACGGGTTCTTTGATAACCCCCCATAACAAAGAATGCTTGGTTGGACTCCAGGGTATCGGTTCCCATAGATGATCTATTTGGAAAGCTGGGGATTCGACTAGAGTCACTTTGGGGTGGGACCGTCATATTCCGGAACGAGCATGGTTGCGATATGTTCGGAACTGGAGGATGAGATCCCTTTTCCTGCCTGGGAGTTTCATCAGAGTTGGAGAGCTTGACTGGTGATCGCATGTGATTGCAAACTTTCAACGCCAACAGCTACGTCGAGCCTGAATTCTTTTACAACCGCCCGACAGGTGGCCCAACAAGGAAATGCTTGTTGTGAAATGGCTTGTTTGTTGGACATTTCAGGATGACTAGGAGATATACTGTACATACAGTCCCTGCACAGTTCACGGAGAATGTGGATACCAAGAACCCACTGGTTACAATCCAAGGAAGTCCCAGGTCGACGATGCTCAGATTGAGGGATCCGGGAGCCTTCCGGTCGACTCGAATCTCGGAAAAAAGACCCTGTCAGACCGTCCACTGGACGCACGACCAGGGTTCGGATCATTTCCATGGACATTTGGATACATTTGGTATTTGAAGCATCATGGACATGGTCAAGGGCGAAGAGCCGGAATGCTCATTCTTGGACTGGGATTTCGGAACTTCACCTCTTGGCTCGACTCTTTGGGGCCTCCTTTTTGCGGTATCCCTCTCACGGAAGCCGACTTGCTCGTCCACCTTCACCCGATGCCGAGGTCCGATGGATCCCTGGGAGGTCGAGTCATGGCGGGAATCGAGGGAAGGGAATCGGCTGTTTTTTGGTCAGCGAGAAACAGCACTTCGCGTCCAACCAGCGCCCCTGTGCCAGGGAGGTCTTGTGGGCCTGTGGGTACTTTTGTTGCTGCTGCACAAGTCCTTCAGGAGGCCTGGAGAAATGTCCTTTGCGACAACATTTATAATATTAGGCGCCTGAACGATGGGATTTGCACAATGTACGTTCTTGATCGTCTGGTCTAAGACCGAGGTCTGCGGTCAGACCCAGCACCAAAAAAAATAAACGGCGCCCCATGGGAGCCTTACTGATTGCATTTATTGATTGTTGTTATTACTATTGTTGTTATTATTGTATAATATTGTATATATTATGACTATTATATATGATTATTACGTCATATTACTATTACTATTATACTATTTCTTCTTTTAAACATTGGCTGCTGCTTTTTCTTTGGAGCCTCCAATCGACTCCAACCAGCTCACCCCACGGCCACCTCGCCACGCCCAGACCGCGGCCTTACGGAGTCGCTCAGTCCGAGAAGCCATGCTGTTGGGGCAGCCCGGTCAGGGCGTGCGTGCGTGCCAGGGGGGGAGTGCATCGCGCCATCCTGCCTGGTGGTTGTTTTTAAATCGCTTTATTGGTCATCAAGAGAAGGGATGACGAGTCTGACTAGTTCTATTTTTGGATATTTTTGGTGGCGACCAAGTACATCATCAATCGACGAAGGCTAGACCCGGGAGTTTTTGAAGTGTGTTGGGAGTGCCAGCTGTCACTTTATCGCTTCAAGGAAATGCACCAATCATCTTTTGCCGATCTCTCAGATTCTCCGTCGAAACTGAGATTCGATCCGCAAGAGTGGAGTGTGTGTGTCACCTGAGAACGGCTCGCGTTTGGAGAGTCTCTGTTTCTACAACTTCGAAAAAGAAGCCGAACTAACAATGCCTGCAGAGATTGCACAGGCGTATCCTAAACATTCAAATCTTGACGACGGCCATGGCGGGGTATATGGACGACGATTGGTTGCCTCCCAGTGGCTCAGAAGAAGAGCAGGACATGGGATGCCTCCCATGCGTTGCCTTTCATGTCGGGGGGGCATTCTGAAGTGCGCGCTTTTTCTACTTGTGCCATGAATCACGAAAACACATCACTCAAGACGGTGACCTTAGACGTAGAGGGGTTGACCTTCCTGGACGTCCAAATCGGTTCGGAGTGAGACGTTGGACATTCACTCCGCTTGGATCCAACTTCACAAGGTCTGAGGTCTTCGCCTCTTGCAAGGTCCGTTTCTCAAATTGCGAGGGAAGATCTACAGGAAATTCAGGACACCTATATATCGTCGGATGTTTTAGAGCTTTAAACCACGGCGGCCCGAACTACCAATCCGTTAAAGCTCTGTAGGCCGAGCCGCTCCACTCCTCTCCACTATGGGCCCACCGTCCGCGTGTGGCGCGTACGACTGTCGTGCTCGACTGTCGAGGAGCGGCCGGAGGAAGGAGACGGTGAGGCAGACGTGGTGCTGCCGGATTATGGCGATGTGAACTTTTGGACCGAGGTGGAAACGCCGCCGCAGTGTCTGCGGGTTTCGGGTCCGAAAAGCATGTCGTCTGGACTGTCTGGCATGTCGTTGTAAGTTGCGAGAATCAGTGTGGCAGCATGGTAGTATGGATTTGCATGGATCTGCATGGTATGGCGAGGTGGGGAAAGGGATCAGAGAACCTCTGCTCTGAGCGCCCAGAACAGTCTTGACCTGACCGATCGGTCGCAGGTGTACACGCACCAGCGGGGCCGCGAGTTGGCGCCGCAGGAGCGAGCCATTCTGTGGTCTTCGGATGGTGTGGCCCGAAGTGGCGACGTCTGCTATACCTTGTCTGGCAGAGGATGGTTTGATCTGTGATGTCTGGGCTTTGAACCAGAAGGTTAAGACCTAGGGGCCATGTCTATTTCCAGTCTCCACCAGACTGGGTGCTGGGAGCTGTCAAACAGAAGAGCCTGGAGAAGTCCAGACTCATCACACTCCATCACACTCCATGGGGCTGGAGTACATTGACCTCAATCGGCCAAGATGGTCCCGGAGAGGTTGTGTTTGGAATAGAGATGTTGTGACCCATCCGGTTTGTGAGTCATTTTTGGGTTCGGTGAAAAAGACCCAGCTGACCACGCTGAGCAGCAGCAATCACCAGCCAGCAGACTTCCGAACACATCTTCCCTTGTCTTCCGAACCACGCGGACGCTGCAGGAGTGGCTCCTGTCCTATCAGCACTTCTGTGCTCAAGGCGAGGACGTGGAATCAAGGGGGGACGAACATCGCCAACACGACAAGTGGTGGAGACAAGTTCCAGCCGTCGGTAAAAGAGAACATCACGAGTTTTGAGATGTCGGCCAACCTAACGATCATCGTCCACTTGGCCCTGGTACTGGGATATACCAAACAAACAAGTATAAACCTGCACCTTCAAAGGGGTCACCTGGCTGGAAGCCCCTACACCACGTACAGGGACCTCCAGCCAGGGCACCCCTTGGAAGCGCTAGGTATAAAGATGCTTCGTAGATGATGCAGCTTCGACTCCGTGATGAGTGTATTCGTCTTGTCGTGATGAGTGCCGTGGGTCGAACGAATGGCTTGACTTCTAAGACTTGGACCCCTTGGACCCCGTTCTGTAAGCGTCAGACGAACCAAACTAACCAAACTAACCAAACCAGACGACTCGCCTCATCGAACGGCCACCGACGACTTCCACCGTGTTGTGACCGTGGCCGACGCGGCCCACCAGGCTGGCGCCGCTTCTTCGACGCGGCCGTGCGCGCAAGTGGCCCTGGGCCGCGGATTTTGGATCTGGGCTGTGGCGATGCCGAGCCTCGAGCCGCAGATTTGGTGTTTTGTCAGCGACGATCGCCCTTTTGTAACCGACGGTCTGGTCCGTTTACTTTCGGTCAACAATTCCGGCGTGGATGACTGGAGTGCACTTTTACGGGTTCTCCGTTGAGGTCATTTTTGATGTGCATAGTTTTACTAAATACATCTAAATACAATCATTCTACTAGGGCTTTTTTGCCTGGTTTCAATTGAACGTGACTGAGGATTTTATGTCCGAAGCTTATGATGATGGATACCAAGATATCACTGGAGTGGACATCGTCGAGGAAGTGCTCGAAACCATGAGGCTGAGAAATGGGGAGAGCATGGCAGAGCTGATGATGATCACATATGGCACCTCCTTTTCTAGAGTCTTTTGCTGCCGCTGGGTGGATATATACATGCCCGCATATTTTTATATATACATATAATAGCAGAATCCTCCCCTCCTGCTTTGTGAAGTGTTTCGATCGACCGTTGAGTTGAGACATAGACACCCGACAGCCCTTTTGTTCGAAGAAAAGTTTGAGTGCGACAAGGTTCGTGCATTTTCCTGGGTTATAAGCCCAAACTAACGCGGGGATTGAAGCCATGTCTGAGCAAGCAAGCGAAAAGACACCAGAATCGGGGGGGACAAAAGGCCCTGGAGGACATTCAGCCTGAGCACGGTGCGATGGTCCGTCCCCAAGGTACCCCAACTGTGCTTGGTCCGCAGATCAATCCTTTCTGGAGTGAAAGCGCCAGAGATGAAGCGATCCTCAGGGCATGCCGCCCAGCTCACCTTCCTCAGGAGAGCCAAGAAGCGTTCCCGCCGCAGGTCTCGTCAGTTAGCCCTCCCAGGGAGCCGGCAGAGGCCTTTCGAGTCATGATGAACAACTTGATGCGGGAGAACGCAGGACTCTGGACAGAACGGGAAGCTGAAATGGCCAGTCAGAACATGTGGCGGCAGCAGCCATGCTCTTATGGACCCCAGCAGTCGTGGCTTGGCAGTGTTTTGGGTGAAGGGTTGGGGCATGAGAGACGTGCGGTAAGGGAGTTCATGGAGGTGATGAAGGCCTCGTTGACTGCTGCTCCCAAAGATCCAGGGCTTTTGGGACCCTTGGCATTGCCTGCAGATGTTGGTAGTGGGGTATTTTTCCCACGGCATGATGTGGGGCCTTCTGGAGGGTATGGTTCATTGACAAAGGGAAGTTTGTTGGAGATGTTCAAACATGGTCTCGGGTGGGGGCCACTCGGTTGCACCTCCATTTCAAGGAGGAATGGAGTATGGCAGAGGTTGGGCAGGTCCGTCAAACCCCAGCTGGTCCTCGGATCCGGCAGCAAGAGCGCGGGTGGCCGGTTTTGTCGAAGAGAAGGGGGTGGTTGCGTCGGGAAGCGTGGCTGCTGGTGAGTCTCTTCATCATACTACCCAAGGAGGTTCTTGTCTTGAGAGTGGGAAGCCAGGTCAAGTTCATGAAGGCAGTTCCAGTGTTTCTCCTAGTGATCCTGGTGGACAAGGTGATGCAGGGCAAAATGGTAGCGCTGGAGGCAATGGTCGTGGAAGTGGATGGCCTATTGTGGGGGATCCGGCTGGCAATTGTTCAGGTGGTGGTGGCCCGTCAAGCAGAGATGGTTTTTCAGGCGGGTTCCCAGGCGGTGTGGCTTTCCTCATGGACATCCAGGCGGGCATCCTTGTGGAGGGGGTTTTCCTGGTGGACCACCTGGACGGGGTGGTTGGTTCCCTGGAGGAGGTGGACTCCTGGTGGATTTCCTGGTGGAGGTGGGTTTCCTGGAGGACCCCCAGATGGAGGAGGTGGTAATCCAGCCAATGGTGCTCAATTTGGAGGTTTTGGGCAGATGCCGGCTTGGTTGGGTGGCCTCATGGCACAACAGGAATCCATTCGTGCAGTCGATCTTCCAGCCCTACTGTCAGAGTCGGAGGTGGGACCTTGCAGGTGATTGGATCACCACCATAGGCCCTTTCATGCGGGACATGAGTTCAAGTTCTTCTTTGTGGTGGAGTGAAGTGCTTCGAGTTGCGGGTGCTCTTTACAGAATGCGGCTGGAGTCAACGCTTCCAATTAAGGAGACAGTGAAGGTCAAGTTCCTTGATGGCGAGCAGACGAATGCGAAGGAGGATGGGGCCAAGAAAGAAAACAAGGAGAGGCCCAAAGAGGGTTCAGATGGCAAAGAACCTCGTGAAAGCCGAGACCAGAAGGGTGGCAAGGCAGACTCCGAGGGAGGAAAGGCTGATGGCAAAGGTGGCCAAGGAGAGAAACCAGTGTGCAGATATTTTCTGTCGGAAGCTGGATGCAAGAAAGGACAGAAGTGTTCGTTTCCACATGAGTGGAAAGGAATCTCGAAGATGGGAAGGTGCTGGTTGCGGTTCCTCGCAACACATGCGATCAGAGTGCCCAGTCAAGGAGGTGCCGCGTGTGAAAAAGGAGATTGGTGATGATCGGAAGGGCAAGGAGGCTGAGGGCAAGACGGGTGAGGCACAAGGGTCATCCAATGGTTCTTCGGCTTTGTTCCTTCCACCAAATGACGGTGAACCGGCTCCGGCGGAAGCGCTGGTGAAGGAGGCAGTGCAGCTTCTCAAATCCCTGAGGCCTTCCATCAAGGCGGTGACGGTCTGTGCGGTCAATAAGGGCCCTGGACATACTAGAGCTTTGTTGGATGGAGGAGCAACACACATTCTTCGACCAGCACACTCCA